GACACACTGACCCCTCCAGGACCGGGACTGGACACCCTGCAGACACACTGACCCCTCCAGGACCGGGACTGGACACCCTGCAGACACACTGACCCTCCAGATCTGGGTCCAGGGACACCCCTGCTGTATCTGAACAAATGCATCTGTGCAGCAGCGACTGAAGAGTAAGCGTATGCTCCCAGTCAGCATGCCCTGCAGTAATGGAGATTAAACTGCGTTTTTAAACATCCAGCCTTCGGGACTAAATCACTTTCTCAGCTGGCAGGACTGACAGGACTGTGACCTGCAGCAGACTGGGAAGACAGATTCAGTCTCTTTTCTTTGTTTTTGCCAAGCAGACAAGCAGATATAACCCCACACTGTTCTTTCAGCTAAAACAAATAGGAGAGCTATCCTTATCACAAAGTCACAGACACATGAAATGATGGGTGCTGAATAACTGAACTGAATGATTTCTACTCCGTATAAAGAAAAAATAACATTTTCCGACACTATGTCTATGTCTATGTCATCAGAAACGGACGCGATCCACCTTTGGACAGGCATTTGTATTGGAAAAAAATACGTAACTGTGCAGGCACTTCACATACAGTAAGCAGTACTACTGATCGATTGTTACAACCTGTTTTGTAACAGCCAGAAGAGCAATTAAAAGTATTTATTTTATATGTTGCATATATTATGGAAAGCAGTTTTCAATTAGGGAAAATGAAGTAACATAGTCCCTCAGAAATTACAACTGTACAATCACAAAATAGTTCATCAGAGTAGCGCGTGGCTGAGGCATCTTTAGTTAAATAAGCCAGGAGTGAAATGAATTGGCAATTGTATAACCATTTTCCCCATCAGCTCAAAACAGCGCTTTTCTCTCCAAGACCTCAGTGCCAGGCTCTGATTAAATGTTTTTGCAGTTTTCTCCCACTGATCCACTGTAGCGGGCCCTAAGGTAAAGAACAGCCACAGAACACTGGGGACCTGCTCTCTGCACCCCAGATTCGGTGGTGGTGATGTGCACAGACCTTGAGCTGAACCTCCTGAGAATGTGGACTAGCCCATTTCCATAGAGGGCGAGGGGGGGGGGTTGACCATCCTACCACCATGGCAAATGGAACAGCGTGAAAGGTTTAGAAACTGAAGTATAAAATAAAGCAAATAAAATACACATTTGAAATGAAGTGAAGTTTCACCACATTAACTCTCTGTGCTTCTGTTACATACTGTACATTTATAACCCACCCCTGTTTTCATTATAGACATGCCCACCCTCCGACTGCTCCTTAGAAACCTGGGGAAGGTTTTCCTTCAACAGTAGGAAGTAACTTCAAGAACTTCCCTTCAACTCTAAAAGTGGAGACTCAGCTTTGCGGTATCGGAACAGGAGAGAAGGGGGAATAAAATATAAAAGCGGAGAGTTTTCACACAGCAGCAGTTTCCAGAGACCTGAAATTTATATTTCAAATAAAAAAAAAAAATTTGAAAGAACAAACTGCTCAAATCCGCATGGGATTTGGAAGAAGGTGTTGCTCACATCTGTTACAAGCGAAAGAGCGCTCCATCACAGACTGCAGCCTTCAGGAAACCTGGCGCAGGGAGCCAAGGCTGTATTGAAGAGAAGGCAAAACCCAGTTAAAGCCTCTACAGAGAAGGCAATAAAAGAGCAGCACTAATCCTTCAAAATATTGAGGCAGGTATTCATAAAGAACTCAGATGACATAAATCAGGGGAACGTGGGAGCCAGCACATTCAGCAGAATATGGAGAAGTCAGCACGGCAAAAACTCAAATGCCAGCATATTTATATACAGCACAGGGGTCAGACTCTGGAGACAGTTTCAAGTTCCTGACTGGCACAAAATCTGACATTGCGAACCATACACGGCAAAACCGTTCGGGCGATTTCCTCCGCAGTTCCGCGGATTCAACCGCTTTCAGAGAATTCTGGGATTGGCGCAAAGCAGCCGCCAAGCTGCAAGACACCCAGTTAGATCGGTGCTGGAGGCGCAGTGTGTCAGGGTCGCACACAGGGGGCGCTGTGCGGCAACGTCACCCCCCACACACACATTCTAGAGGTATCGGCTCTACCACACTCCTGAGAGCTGGGTGTAGAAGATACAGAGCCAGACAGGGGGAGATACGGGTCTTTAGATTATCCTCTGGAGCCTCTTTACTTGTTCTCACACTGCAGAAAGGCTCCCCCTGGGCTCACCCTGTCACAAGCCAGGTCCGTCTCCTCCAGAAGCCCGAAAGAGAGCGTCATGGAGGATCAGTGCTATTAATCAGCACTGACATACAACAGGACCCCCTGAAGCGAAGATAATAAGGGCAGGCAGAGATCGCCTGAGCCAGGCTCCATCTTGCTTTGTTAATAAGTGGGGACACGTTGAAAATTAAGCTGACTGTGCAGAAGGAGTAATGGCTGATGCTGACAAAGGGAAGGAGGAATGACTTGTGTGTACAGCTCCCACTCATTTGGGGACTAAAACAAGACAACAGATAATTCTAACATGCACGTAAACATCCAAAAATGCACATGGCACTGTTCCTAGAAAACCATTTTACTTACAGAGGTAAACATCAATAAATTTCACAAAAGAGATGCTGATGTGAAACTGAGGATGGAGCAATTGTCAACCAGCAAACCACTAGGAAAAGAGAAGCCAGAACATTTACAACATTTTGGGCACTCAGAGTTAGCAATATGAAAAGCATCGAGTTAGTGATACGAGAAGCAGCAATTTCCAAAGCACTCAACTTAAATATTCCCATACCTCACAGATTTAATAAAACAAAATTCACTCAGCATCACATTTTACTGTTAATAGTTCCTGTCCTGAACATCTACTTTTATACTGCACAGGCATTTCAACAGCTCAGGTTTCTGGACAAGATACAGTGGTAAAAGTGCTCAAAAAGACAAGGAGAAGCCAAGATATAAAAACATTCGGCTCTTTAGGTGTCAGGTTATCAAATGGTCTTAGGGATTATGAATATGAACAATCGAAGAGTGCTTTTTAAAGGCATTTTAATGCAGAAGTCGTTCAGAAAAGGCCATGTGATCAATTACTTTAGACAGTGGGGAGAAAAAAAAATCACAGGCTTAAGGACCTTTTTATGAACTCCAGAATTTATTTTTTTGAGAAGCTTGATAAAAAACATATCTTTATGCTCTTCTTCTGGGGGAATCAGATCAATTGTAAGCACAATCATAACATTTTGCCATTCTTTCAGAAGTAAGGGTAGTCAAAATGTAACGGATCAGCCAAGAAATGCTTACTGGCTGAGGAAGAGCTCCGAGACAAAAGACCGAACTTGGTTCCTGCATGAGGTTTTTATTCACTGGTATTTATGAACGTCAAACTCACATCCTGTAGTAGTGCATCACGTTTTCTGCATGAAAAAAAATGAGGCTGCATTTTACACAGATTCTGCCATTAAACCTTATTCCAACTGGCATCACTGAAAGAAAAAGTACAACAGCTACAATCGTCCAGTAAATCAAGAGTAAACTACTGTGGACAGGCAGAACTCAGCCCGTATGAAACAGAAATGGAAAATACAGGATTATGAATTCTATTTTTCACAGGGAATAAATAGAGGTTGGAGCAGTTTTTCCAATTCAGTTTGAAGTTTAAATTTAACCCTACGGAAATAAAACCACACACTTGAATGCACGAGACTCCTAGTCCCCCTCCCAGGTTATTTCAGTCCAGGAAACTCGGATGCTCAAGATGTTGCCATTCCGATGGCAATACTGAAGGGCAGATTGTTCCAGCTACACAGGCGACCTGCAGCCTGGGGTCTTTCAGAGGCAACCGCAAGAGTCTCCTGAGCTTTCCCACACCGTGCCCTGCAAACTAGAAGGGCAACTCATGTTCCCAGTGATGGATGTGGAGGATATGAAAAAGAGCCCAGAATCACCCCTTAACTGTGGCGCTTCCTAATAGATCCAGGCCTCCTGTAAAATATTTATTACAATATCACCTTGGCAAGAGCTTAGAAAAAAAAATCCATTTGGGGGAAAAATGTCAAGCATAAAGCAGGAGATATGAACCTATTCCTAATTATAGGGATGTGTGATATTTAAGATTTTTTTTTTAATCCTTCATCTGATCATCTCAAAACGGTGCTGGGAACCAGAATGTATTGGATACCATTTGGAAGTGGCTTCATCCATTTAAGCGTGTGCTTCACGGCATGCAACATCACATACATCACCACCATCTGCAAGGCACCCACATTTAAATATGCATATGTGCATTAATGTGTCACACATGGAGTTTTCACTTGGATGAAAATTGCGTGATCTATCAAATGCATAGAGCCTGAAGCATTTTATTCAATTTCTTTCGCCGTTTTTTGTTAAATCAATTCAAAAAAAAATTTAATGGTCCAATTTTTCTTGGTGATGTTTTTTTTTTGAACACCACAATGTTGCTACACTGTTGCGGTTTCGCAAAATGCGAGCTGAATACCAACACACGCTCCACAGTTTGGAGAGCAGGGGAAATTGCTTTGAAGTACCACAAAGGCCCTTGAAAGAAATTTGCATTAATGGAGACCTCAGTGTTAATAAACAACACACAGAGGAGCTCCTTTTTGGAAAAACAGAAACCCTTTTAAGTGTTGCAATGTGTTTAATACAGCGCAAATGTTCTCTGCTAAAAGTACATTTCATACTCCTCAAAATATTATAACAGACCATTCATAAAGTCTTAACCACAATTAATTACATGCTTATTAGCTCATTTCAGATTATGCAACTATGTGACTCCATTCTGATGCTATAACTGTTAATAGCTTGTTTGATCTACACGTAAAAAAGGACAATTTTCCCAGCAAAAAAAAGTGAAACCCAAATCTTTTCAACAATTTTAGGAGCTTTCTCACTCTCCTTCTGAAGATTGATCCGTCTATTTTAAGACTGTGCCCAGATTCCCTAATTAAGGAAATGCGAAAAGCGCAGCCGAGCAATCCCATTGCACTAGGAAGAACATTAAAGCTCACGGTTGCAAAGGCGTCCGATAACAACAATGACTGTAATAACTGGGCTTTATGATATTAAAATTAGAACAGAATGTACCCGAACAAGAACAATGCACAGCAGCTATTATCGCTCTCACAGAAGGTATCCGTCATCAAGAACAGAAAATGGATACACTTCTGTTTATTTTTCTTGGAACTTTTTCCCCTCAGCAATTAAAACCTAGAGTATCAGCCCTGCCTTTGGAGCTTTTCCGTCCGGAATTTGGCATAGAGACTCTGTGATTAGCTAATAGGGATTTGGCATTTTTTGGATGAGCAATTACGAGGGAAAACAACTTCAGATCAACGAGATGTATTAGTGCTGCAATATTGTTTATATTCTAGCGATTTTTTTTTTGTGCGACGCAGTGATTTACAATAATCTATTGAACAGAACTAAAACACGGTAGTAGAGGAACTGGACAAATTGCGTCGTTGAATACCAAGAATGTAAGTACGGGCTAAAAAGCAGTTGCATTTTTTAAAAACAGCGGGTTATTATAGGGAATGCACAGAAGTATTTTCTCTCTCGATGTGAGATATTAGTATTTGATCTCTTAGTGTGAGATAATCTACAGTAGTCAGAGTTTTAAAATGAACACAGACACAGCCGGATATATTTGCATATACATTTACAAACGAAAAAGGACGAAAAAGTATACAAAAAAAAGATTACACTGAAATTTCCGAAATGTTCAAACTTTAAAAGCCTTTAAAAGTCAGTAAGACACCAAGCGACAAGCGTCTCTCCAAAATACGGCAGAAAAACGAAAACGGATTAATAACACATCACGATAAACGCCCTCCTCTCCGAATAAAATTGCATTATTGACTCTTACTCCGTACTCGGTGCCTCCCGCATCTCCGGTGCTGCCTTTCCGAAACCTGTAGCAGATTCTGCCCTCAAAAGAAATACACAAGGACTGAAACCCTAACCACGCAAAAACTTCACCTGCACCGGCAGCACATTCATAAGAGACCAGTCTGTACGCCGCACCTACCTGAGGCTCGGGGGGGTTTTAGTGGCTGGCCGTGGGGATGATTTCTCGAAATCCTCAAACAGAAGTCCCAAAACTTCTCCCTGGGCAGCCCTTTATAATAGAGCTGCACTCAGCGTGCCTGCTTGGGGCGGCCATCTGCCTAACCAGAGCCCAGTCCAACAGCCAGCCTCTTAAAGCAACCCGGGCGCTTTCCACGGAGGACAAAAAAAAAACCCCAACAGAATCACGGGCTGGGAGAATAAAGGAACAAATAAAAAAACAGGTTCAACCAGTCTGCTGGGTTTGTACTTGACGCGCTTGGCGCTGCGCCCCTCACTGTGATAAGTACTCTGAATATGGATGGAGGGTCACAAGCTCGGTTGTGCTGTAAGAAAAAGGTCACTCCCGTGGTTAACATGGGGTAACATAATCAATAATCGGGGTTTAAGACAGACAAACCGTTACAAAGCTTCAGAAAAGTGCGTTTAAATACATTTAGTTGTTGGTGGACCAGTAGGGGGCACACTTCCCTGGGCGACTTGAATTTCCAAACCAAGACCCAATTATTATTATTATTATTATTATTATTATTGAACCCAGTGGTCGTGTAAATTCGGAACCTGCAGTTCACAGTGGCTGTGTACTGGAGTACCATTGGTGGGGGTGGAGGGGAGTCCCCATTACCTGTAAAGCGCTTTGAGTGGAGTGTCCAGAAAAAGCGCTATATAAGTGTAAGCAATTATTATTATTATTATTATTATATTACTGCCAAGTGTGAAAGGTGTAAAAGATGCAGATCTCGTCTTTACGCACTTGAATCCCAAATTCCTCTCTTTCATCCATTTTCTAACCGCTTCATCTTGTTCAGGGTCGCTGGAGAGCCTGAGCCTATCCCAGCAAGCACCGAGCGCATGACCCCTGGGCGTCGCCCGTGAATCCCAAATTCATATTTAAATAAGATCTCATATGCGCTGCAACACTGGCGTAACCAGAACTATTAAAACAACAACATTGGGGCGCTGTCTGCTGCGTTTTCACATTTATAAACATGAGGTTTGTCCAGTCTGTACCGAGACACTTCTTTGCTGGGTCGTTCAGTCTGTATTTGGACATCTCTTTGCTGGGGAGCATTTGGTTGTTTGTTAGCACTACGTATCCTGTGCCCTTTTAAAAGTCACTATCGCTACAGTGAACAACTCTTTACTGAAAGATTCGAGTACGCTCTGTACTGTAATGAAAGCTTTATGTGAAGCACTCAGATTCACGATTCGCTGGCTACTCCAGCCCTTGTCTGGGTCTTGGACAGTGTGTCCTGCCCACACCGCTAGACAAATCAGGAATCCCAGCGCCGTCGATGTGGTCATCATCATCGTTGCTGTTGTTGTTGTTCGGCTGCCATCAACACCGTTGCTATGACTACAAAATGCACCTGCCTCGCTAATTAGAAGATAATTGATTGCGCCTCGTGGCTTTCCCGAAAACTATTCCCCTCAGTGAAACACTGGCCGGCTTTTTAATGTTTGGACCGCAGCCTGCGGTATTACCTAATGGCTTTGTAGTAAAGGTTTGTTTTTTTGGTGGTTGTTGGTTTTTTTTTTTAAGTTTGAGACATCTTTACTCGTGCAAAGTCCTGCATTCCTGATTGGCATGCTATGCGATTGTCCCGGAACGGCTGTCAAATCCAATCATAAACACATCTTTTCTCACACACGGTTTACCAGAGTCTATACAGTAGGTGCTGAAACCTCTACAGCTGTCGCCCGCTGCGTGCTCAGCCCACGTTCCCCTGTAACCAGGGCAACAGACTCAGGCTTATAGTAAGGCTTCCTTTCATATGGTACCCCTGAAATGTGTGGCACCCTGTGCTATGTTATATCCTAGACATTCTTGCGGACTTGTTATTTTTGCCGATATAAAGGAAAGACCCCATTTGCCTGGGCGTTGGTAGTATCCCCCCGCGAGAGCGCAGAGTGGGGGGGGGTCGGCGAAAGACACGTTTAGCAGGTGGTTCCCTCTGGAGGAGAAATGAAAGCAATAACAAACAAAAAACAAACAAACTGGACAGCACCTGCGGTCCACGGACACGCTGCGTTACCCACTGCCCCCTGAAACGGACCGGGCTGCCCATCTGCCGGCCTGCTGCCGGGAGCCCGAGCCCCGTCCTTCCTCTCCAGCGGGATTTTGGAGGAGACGGGCGTCACCGGCTGCGAGTGACAACGACGGGATGAAGACTTGGAAATACGCCTTTGGGAGGGATGTGAGTGATTTTATTTTGTCCCCCCCCGAAACCGTGCAACCGTGTCTCCTCTGCCGGTGACGTCCGCTCACATCTGACCGTTTAATGAGCTGCCGCCTAGCTGACATAAATTTTTTAACAAGCCACCCAGACGTCTTGTGCTAATTATAAAAGGGAAAGTGAGGGTGGGGTGTACGTGCTTTTCGCCTAATTCCACAAATAGAAGTCAAATTGAATTTCTAATGATCGATGTAATAACCCCGCCTGGTGATGAAAACGGCCTGTCGCCTTGATCATCGTGTAGACGTGATGGTGTTTGTTTGCATAGAAAATACCGTATAATATGTAAGTGTTTTTAATCTACACACAAGGTGGAAAGACCCGAAAAAGGGCAGCAGCAGCGACCTTGACCAGGGGGCCTAGAGAAGACCGTGTGTTTCGAAGTCTCGAGTCAGACCAGCAGAGTCCACGGCCCCTCACGCAGACGGTAATGATTCCTGCCGCACCAGACGAGAAGCCGGGCTGTATTCCCCCAATCGCCGAAGCACTTTTCAGTCCACATCGACCTCTGAAACCCTCCAAGAAACTGAGGGACGGGCTGTTAGCCTGAGCAACAGCAGCGCGCAGAGCTCTTGTCTCCTTCCATCTGGACATTAAGGTACTGCCCAGGTAAGCCAATGGAAAACAAAGAAGGATACAGCCGCCACCTTTGTACGTCTTCAAGCCCCGAAAAAGCCCCCTTAATAGTCCCAGAGCAAGGACACTGACAAGTGAGCAGACGACCCGCCATCATCTCCAGCCCTGTGGAGCTGCATCACCTGCGATACTGACAGCAGGCGCTGTACGTACTGCAGCCTGCGCTGTGCCCTGTCCAAGGTGAGGCAGTGACGGGCAGCAGTTCAGGAGAGAGGCAGGAGGCAGGACAGATGGCCCGATGACCACCTGCCTCGCACGGGGGCTTACTGTGGGTGGCTCTCTGAACCCAGGCGCAGGTCCGGAGAATGAAGGAGGAGATGCACGTGGGGTGTGAATTGAAGATTTGTCGCTTGGAATTTGGAAACCATTTGTAACATGCCTATTTTTTTTTAAAAAAAGCTACAGAAATAACCCCACCAAGTCTGAAAACCGAGCACCTGGAAAGGCACAGACACGTTTATCACTGAAACAATATCGAAATAAGTGGCGTGCAGAATGTGGTGGAGGTCATGAAGATTTTATAATTAAATACATACAATAATGTATCTTACAAAAGCAACACGTAGTCCATCCAAACTCACCTTTGCCCCTCCACCCCTTTGATTTACTTGATGACACTAATGTACTAAACAAGCACAGCCTATGTGTCAGTTCACACAAGCTGCTGACAGGGGGCGCCGTTGAGCGGTCAGATGACTAACCTTCACCCAATCCTGAGGAGCGATGGCAGCAGGGTATATTAACCTCGTACATAGAGGATAATCTTAGGAAACGGGAAATGGAAGATTTCTCCAGATCAGCCTGGGCAGATGCCCTTTACAACAGCCTGTCACTTCAAGAACAAAGTGAGCTTTCTGTCCTTGGCTGCTTTTAGCCTGCTGACTCCTTTATATGTGAGCACCTGCATAACAGCAAGCGAGCACCACTGGAGCTGTATCGCCACCTGTCTGAAATTGCGCATTGTGTGCACTCTGTGCAAGAAGTACATGTGACGAGCACACCTCTCCCTGCTCCGGCCGGGACACAATCCTGGTTCCTCCCGGGCTCCGGGTTCTGGGCACACATGGCACCACTCCCAAGACAATGGATAATAATAATAATTTAATCATTGCTTACACTTATATAGCGCTTTTCTGGACATTCCACTCAAAGCGCTTTACAGGTAATGGGGATCCCCTCCACCACCAGTCTGTACCCCCCTCCACCACATCCTTGTACTCTGGATGATGCGCCAGTACGCTCCCACACACCAGCTCTCAGTGGGGAGGAGAGCAGAGTGATGAAGCCAGTTCAGAGATGGGGATTATTGGGAGGACATGACTGGTAAAGGCCAGGGGGAAATTTGGCCAGGACACCAGGGTAACACCCCTACTCTTTCTGAGAAACAGCCTGGGATTTTTAATGACCACAGAGAGTCAGGACCTCGGTTTTACGTCTCATCTGAAGGACAGCAGCTTTTTACAGCATAGTGTCCCTGTCGCTATACTGGGGCATTAGGACCCACACAGACTGCAGGGTGAGCGCCCCCTGCTGGCCCCACTAACACCTCTTCCAGCAGCAACCTTAGTTTTTCCCAGGAGGCTCCCACCCAGGTACTGACCAGGCTCACAGCTGCTGAGCCTTCAGTGGGGCTGCCAGCTGGGAGCTGCAGGGTGATATGGCTGCCGGCATGAAATTGTATCCACCACAACCCACTAGACCACCATAGACCTGGTCCCGTGTCACCGCAGAGACTTACACTGTCAAGAGTTCAGACTGGGGGTGATGTCACCCCTGTAGCTGGCTCGGCGCTCTGAGCCCTGCTACACAACCCGTCTGCAAGCCGATTCCCCAGGCGCCGGCCCACCCACCTCTGCGCCCATTAACCAGGGAAAGCAGGTGGCCCAGTCGAGTCAGTAACCCCGATAATGAGATCCGAGAGGTGTCATTACCCCCCCCGCCGCCCTCGGGCCCTGAGCAGCTCGTCTTCCGTAAAGAGCACCGTGTCGCGCTTTGCTCTTAAAAGCAAGCGCAGCTCATTAACCTTTACAGTTTCCAAAAGACCTTCCTCCGCCTAACTTTTCTCTGCCCTCTAAGAAGAAAGGAGTTGTGGCCCTTCAAGAAGAAAATCGAGCCTGTATTTCTGGGTTAAAACTAGTTCATATAATCCTAACATCTCAAAACACAAGAATCAGGTTGATAAGATACTGTGCTTGTATATAGGATAATAATAACATCACTTTATTAACCCTTT